CAAAAGAGATCTGTGCAAGAACCTTCTTCAGAATCACTGCACCATTAGTAAATAAACGAAAGGAGTATTCAGAGAGAAGAATTATAGGGTACTCAATGCAAGAAATGTATGATGTTGTATCAGGAATGGAGGATTATAAGCATTTCGTCCCTTGGTGTAAAAAATCAGATATAATATCGAGGAGATCTGGATATTGTAAAACCCGATTAGAAATTGGGTTTCCACCTGTTTTGGAGTGATACACATCAATAGTAACCTTGGTAAAACCGCATTTGGTAAAGGCATCTTGTACTGATGGGAAACTTTTCAATCATTTGGAGACTATTTGGCGTTTTAGCCCAGGTCTTCCTGGCTATCCAAGAACTTGTACCTTGGATTTTTCAATTTCTTTTGAATTCCGCTCCCTTCTGCACTCTCAGCTCGCTACATTGTTCTTCGATGAAGTCGTGAAACAAATGGTAGCGGCCTTTGAAAGAAGAGCATGTAAACTCTATGGTCCAGAGACAAACATTCCTCGGGAATTAATGCTTCATGAAGTTCACCACACCTAAGAGGAAAATAAGAGCTGCCTCCACCTACTCTTGGCTAGTTTGTTCACTTTCAGGTAGTCCTTTCGCCATCCATTGAGAAGCCAGAAAGCATTTGTTAAACCTGCCTTCATTCTAAGCCTGCTCCATTGAAAATTTGCACATTGAATATGGACCCATTTGTACGTAGAATTATTTCTTCAATCAAGTGTAACTCTTAAGTAACATGTACATTTCTAGGCTCCTTCTGCCTTTGTAATAATGGATGTCATCACTGTTGCCAGGATACCACATTCCTCATTTGAGTACACAGATGAACAAGTCTTTTAATTCTCACCTTACATGAAAGGTTAGCTGAGATACAATGTGTGTTACATTTACCATATCATGTTTAAGTTATTAGGTTCAGAGTATTTGTAACTTATTGTTATTGGGCATGCCATACGGCTTAGGGTATTTGAGTAATCATATATTTAACATTAAAACTTTGATTTAAAGTACTGCTAATGAAGTCTTAGCACTTTGGGTATTTTAAATTGTTCTTATGGGTAGCAGTAGATAATTCAGTGTTGTTGGGAAGTTGCTTCCCAGATATACTGAGTGGGGTTTTTTTTGTGTGTTGTTGTTTTGTTTTTCATTTTTTGTTTTATTTGGTGAGTGGTCCAGAGCTCTGAGCTACTTTTCTAGACATTTGAAACTTCCCCCAGGTGCTTTGCACTTTCAAATGCTGATTGTGTTGTCAGAATTTTGTCTGCTGCTGTAGGCAACAGATAGGTAGTTAATATGTCTCCAGCACTGCACAGGCCATTTTCTATTTATTGTGCATATTCGCTTTCAATAATATTCTAAACTGATATTTTTAAAAAAAAAAAAACAAATCAGTGTAAGGGCTGAAGTCATGACTTAATAAAGTTAAATTGTTTAAAAAAAAACCAATTCTGTCAATATTTTATTTAAAAACGATTTCTGCCAATATCATTATTTAATAATCAATTCTGTAATAAGCAATTGTGTCAATATCTTTATTTAAAAACCAATTCTGTCATTTCTTTATTTAATAAACTATTCTATCAATATCTTTATTTAAAAACCAATACTGTCAATATCTTTATTTAAT